GAGCACTGTAGAGCTTCCGTTCTGCACGTGTGCTGGCCGACACCCCTGGGTCCCCACAGCAGAACCAAGTGAGCACAGCACAGCGGAGTGCCCTTCAGGTGGGTCTCCAGGCCTTGCTTCCCTGCAACACCGGTGTCCTCACCACCTCTCTGCCACATCTGTGCTTTGTCCTCGTTCGCCTCGGTCGGCACCACACCCCAGGCTCTGCTCACCCCCGACTGGCTACTCCCGCTCCTCCACGTTCCTAGAACATGTGCCCGTCTTTCTGGATTCCACTTTCAGGGGTCAGCACGAGCCCTCACACGCAAAGTCCTCTGTACATGCTGTGGGACGCCTCTGTCCCAAAGCCTCCAAGGTATGTCACTCAGGGAGTTCCAGTCTGATGAGGTCAGCCAGACCCTGCCCCTTTCTCCTCTTGCACATACCTGCCTACGAGCACAGTGAGGTTTCCTCGCCTTTTCCTGCACCTTCTTTTGTATGTGTGGCGGGGGCTTGGGAGGCAGCCTTTTTTTTTCTTCTTTCTTTATTTTTTCTTTTTTCTTTCTTTCTTTCTTTCTTTCTTTCTTTCTTTCTTTCTTTCTTTCTTTCTTTCTTTCTTTCTTCCTTTCTCTTTCTTCTTTCTTTCTTTCTTTCTTTCTTTCTTTCTTTCTTTCTTTCTTTCTTTTTCTTTCTTCTTTCTTTCTTTCTAAAGATGCATACCTCTCAAAATCTACCATCTTAAAGCATACTGTTCAGTGGATTTTAATCTATTCACAAAGTTGCGAATCACTATTAGGATTTGATTCTAGAATGCTTTTGTCACCCTCTACATAACCTGTGAGCTGTCACTCCTCACTTCGGCATCCTCATGCCTGGGCAACCACTCACCTGCCCCCCGTCGCTGCAGACCCACCTTTCGACACCATGTCCCACAAGTGGGGTCACTCAACATGTGGCCTGTTGTGTTGGCTTCTCTCCCTTAACACGGTGTCCCAAGGCATGTCCAAGGTGCAGCATTGTCAGGGCTTCATTCCTGGGGATGTGAGGGGCAGCCCACTGTGACCCCATGGGACACGGGCTTCACCATTTCCTTCCTTCATCAGTCCATGACGATTGGGTGGCTCCCTCTTTCTGGCTATGGATAACGTTGTTAGCAAGGTTCATGTGTGAGTGTGGTGTGAACGTATGTTTCCATTATCTTGGCTGGATATGTATGTGTACATACATGTGTTGTATATTAGGGTTTCTGGCTCCTAAGGTGACTGTGTTTAACATTTTCGACCTCTCCAAAGCCACTGTGCCGCTGTATGTTCCTGGCAGTGGAGTAGGAGTTCCAGTTCTCCACAACCTCACCGGCACTCACATGGTTTTGTGTAGTCGTGCATCCCTCCACGAAGGATGAGCTCTAGGTGGTGCACCATTGCTGTGCAGCCCTGCAGGGTGCACATGCATAGACCCAGTGGGCATGGCCGGCCACATGCCTCGGCTACATGGCAGAGCCCACCATGGTCCCGGGGACACGGGGGACTTGCAGTCTGTACCATTATGCAGTGCCTGCGGTATTTATTCCGGCCATCTGGATGAATGTGAGCTGGCATCTCCCTGCCATCATGACGTCTGGGACCTCGACCCTTTTGCTTGACCTTTCTTGCCCCCTTTCATCTTCTAAACTCCTAGGACTCCTTTAAGGAGTGTCTGTTCCAGCCTGCTTTGATGAAATGCGGACAGGACAACTGAAGGGAGGAGTGAGGAAGGAGGACAGGGCATTGACCCATTATCTGGATCAGCCCGATCCTACAGGGACGAGGGACAGGCCAGAGCTGTGGTAGGAACCCCAGACACACCCTGACCTTTGGGACCCTGTGGGAAGAAGCGGTCCCAGCAGATGTTCCGGAGTGGGCAGGTGCACTTGGTCTGAGGGTGTGTGTTTCTCAGAAACCAGAAGGCTTCCCTGGCTGAGGAACTCCCCAGAAAGGTGAGGGCAAGCTCGGGAAATGCTGCAGACGGTAGAGGGCTATGGGGACAAGGTGTGTCCTGGCTGGGTGGGGAGAGGCAGCCTGCAGACCCTGCGCCTCGGCTCCCTCTGAACCTGTGTTCTGGACCCAGGCTGCATGTCCTCAGGGCCCCTGTGGATTGCCTTCTGGTCACCAATTTCCTGTTTCAATATGAATGCTGTCATAAGGCAGAAACTTCCATTTCTCTGTTTGTTTTTTCTTCTTATTAAATTCGTCTCTTGTGATTTATTGATTTTCTTAAAAGAAAAGTAAATTCATTTTTTATTTTTTGCAGCTTATTACCAGACACTTGGGTCAGGGACATGCTGAGCAAGAATTCTGTTAAAAGTGTTCAGGAATGTATCCCAACCAAAATCAATACAGCTACATGGATATATTTTTAATGTTACAAAGGACAAGCGTAGAGAATCTCATCAACACACGCGACTTGAACCAGGCACAGCGCTGGTCTGCACAGGTGCCATGAATCACCAGGGCCGCGCAGAGCAGCTGGAGGTCGGTGCAGACTCCCTGATGCAAACGTGCACTGAGCCATGGGTCTGGGTAAACCGGGCTGAAAACTCTCAGTCCTGACTCTCAGAAACACTGGACAGAATATATGTGGAAGACTGGGAAGCAAACAGCAGCAGGGAGCCTGCGGTAGAAGTCCAGAAGTCGACATGCCCCCAGATTCATAGGGGGCTGGCGGCTTTCTCCTCTGGCCTCCTCGTGGCCGGCCTCTGCACCAGAGACCCAGGAGGGCGCAGGGAGCAGGCAGGAGACCCAGGGAAAGGCTCCGCTACAGCTCAAGTAGCAGGAAATCCAGAAAGTTCTACTTGTTTTTTTTCTTTCTATTTTCCCTCCATTCTCTCGTGCCCCAGCCCCTTAAACAACCATGTGAAGGTGAGGTTAGCAGGGTCAGCAGGGGTGCAGTGGTTAAGGTGGCTGGATTACACATGGCTGACTGCGATCTCAGTCCTGGACCTGGTGGCTTGAAAATCATGTGAAAAACATGCTGGGCACATGTGTATGCATGCCTCAAATCCTTAAAAGAGGGAAGATTGGAGGAGGATTGTGGCATGAACATTCCCCAAGGGGGCTGCTTTTTTACTTTCTGTCCTTCCCTCTCTTGTCTTTCTCTGGCAAGCCCATCTGCCCCCTGGCAATTTTGTTTTTTTAAAGAAAAATAAAAGATAATGGTGGGATCCCAAAACACGAATCCCAGAGGCCAACACTCTGAGGCAGGATGTCCAGACAGGGGAGCTGATGTTCCGGGGGCAAGATGCCCAGCTTGTCCACTCTGTTCTCAGCTGCCTAGCCACAGCAGAGGTACACAGCAGAGCACAGGGGCTGCCATTCAGGCTTCTAGCCAGAGAGACGGGCTGACGTCGTCCACGGAGCCCTGGGCTCGTCATCCCCTCCACACACAAGCTGCACACACACAAATGTCACCATATCACACTGGACACATTTTGAAGGTCGAACAAATCAACTGGGCCCTAGATTGGCCCTTGGGGGACACACTTGTGAGACCGATTTGAACAGAACTGCGAAGGCTTTGCACACTGATCTCATTCTGATCCATGGCCAGCCAGGAGCAGGCATGTTGTAACTGTGGCCTGAATGAAAGCAGGTCAACTGCCTGCACGAGCAGAAGATGGCACGTGCACCCTTCAGAGCTTCCTGGCGTGTCCTCTACATTCCCAGGTATGATCCTAAATTTGTACAATCCAAAACAACTTGGCATGTGAAGAAACAGGAATATCGCAATTCTCATGGAAAAAGACAATCAGCAGACACTGGTACTGAGATGACACAGGTTATTGGAGTCACCTGACAGAGACTTCAGAGAAAATTATTCATGGGGCCAGCAGGTGATATGGCAATTAAGGCAGTGGATTCCCACATGGCCAACTGTGGTTCAAGTCCCAGCTTGAAAATCATGCTGGGTGCATGTGCATGTATGTCCAAAATCTCAGGAGGGGAACGGAGGAGAAAAGATTGTGGTGTGGCCATCACCCTTTGGGAGAGGGCAGTTTCTCACTTTCTATCTCACTGTCTCTCTCCTTCTCTGGTGAGCACATGTGCCCTATGATAAAAACCTTTAGTCCAGAAAGAAAGGACACACACAAACACTTATTGGTAGGCTCGATAACAGAATAAACACGGAAAGAGGCAGATCGATAGAAATGATCCAATCTGACAACAAAGAAAAGGATTAGAAAAAGGAACCCAGCCTCAGGGACTGTGAGATGAAAATAAAAGGGCTAGCATTTGTGTCATCCGAATAAAACAGGAGAGTATGATGCTTAAAAATTATTCTGGGAAATAGTTGCTGAGGACTTTCCATACTTGGAAAAATATATAAGCCAACAGAATCAAGAAGCTCAGAAAACCCCAGAGAGAACAAACCCAAAGAAACCCACACCCAGACACATCAAAACCCAACTGCTGAGTACCAGACACTCACAACACTTGCGAAAGCAGCCAGGAAAAATGATGCACTCCCTGGAGGGCGACAGCAATTCAAATGGCTTGGGCTTCCTATTTGAAATCATGGAGGCAGGGTGGAAGTGGTGCAGCATTGTTAAAGTGCTGAAAGAGAAGAATTGTCACCCCCAAGAATATATATCCTGAGAAATACCTCCAGGAATAAAGATGAAATAAAGACATTCTCAACTGAAGGAAAACGAGGAGAATTCATTGCCAGAACTGCTCTAAAAGAATCCCTAAAGGAAGGACTTCAGACAGAAGGGGAGTGATAGCAGGACGGAATTTGGAATACCAGGGATGGAAAGAGGGACAGAAGTGGTAAATATGTGAGTAAATCTAACAGATTATTCTTCTCCATTTGGAATTCTTTAAAATACATTTAAAAGTTGAAAGTTAAAAGGTGTGAGCCAGCCCATGGCATGGTGATTAAGGTGCCTTAATCCCACATGGCTGACTGTGCAGTTTGAGTCCTAGACACGGCAGCCTGGGAAATACACTGGATACATGTGTGCAAGCCCCAAAATCCCCAAAGGAGTGCTCACTTCGGCAGCACATACGCTGAAATCGGAATGATACAGAAGATTAGCATGGCCCCTGTGCAAGGATGACATGCAAATTCGTGAAGCGTTCCATATTTAAAAAGAAAAAAACAACCCAAAGGAAAGAGAAATGGAGGAGAAAGAATTGTGGTGAGACTGATCCATATGGGAGGTACTTTCTCTCTCTCCAGCGAGTGCCATCTGATAAAATTAACAAGAAGGACCAGCAGATGGAGTAATGGTTACGTTGCTGGACTCCCATGTAGTTGATCATGGTTTGAGTCCCAGACCCAGTGACTTTAAAACTCATGTTGGGTATGTGTGTGTGCATGCCCAAGATCCTAAGAGGAGAAGGGAGAAGGGACTGCGGTGTGGCCATCCCTCCTGGGGTTTATTTCTTGCTTTCTGTCTCTCTGGCGAGTGCATGCACCCTATAGCAAAAATTTCCCCCTCCAAAAAAGTAAAATTAACAACAACAAAAAAGTAAAAATGTGTACTAATATTTGATAGTTTTCGATGTACGTAGTATAACATGTATGACGATTATTATAGAGAGGGCATAGGGATGCGTGAGGAAGTGCTTTTTCTACATTCCTATTGAAGTAATGGTATATTATTTCTAAGTAGATCATAAAAAATTGAAGATACACATCGCAGCTCTTAGGACAATCAGTTTAAAATCAATTTGTACAAAGAGATGTAGTAAACAAATTCAATATGTAATACTAAAAGTGTTCATATAACCCAAAAGAAGGCAGGAAAGAGGAAACAGGAAAATGGAAAATGGATGGAACAAACAGAAAGAAATAGCAAAATAATAGAACTAAACCCCAATATATCAATTATTACAGTAAACAAAAATGTCCAACACATGCTATTAAAAAAAAAGGGTTGTCAGAATGTGTAAAACAGCAAGTATTACTCATGCTTCCATAAGAAACTCACTTCAAATCTAATGGCATAGGTATATTAAAAGAAAAAGATGGAAAATTTATCCAGATAAACACTAATCAAAAAAGCTGAGTTGGCTGTATTAGTATCAGACAAAATGGACTTCAAAGCAAATAAATGTACCAGGGATAAAGTAGAACAGTGCGTAATAATAAAAGAATCAATTTACCAAGAAGACACAGCAATACTAGATGTGTATGCATCTAACCAAAGAGCTTCAATATACATAAAACAAAAATTGAAAAACTGAAAATGAAATGCAGATAAATCCATCATGGTAGTTGGGGATGCCAACAATCTTCTATTAGTAAGATAAAACTGGCAGAGAGGATCAACAGGAAGAGGGGAGTGAGCAACACTATCAATCCACTGCATCTAATTGACATTTATGGAACAATAGACTCAGTAAGGGCAGAATACATGCATTTTCAAATCTGCATGAGGCCTGGCCAAGGAAGATCAGTAAAAATCATACCAAGCACGTTTTCTTCATCTCTCTTTTTTTTTGGAGAGGTTTTTGCTATAGAGCGCGTGCGCTCGCCAGACAGACAGAGACATAGAGACAGAAAGCGAGAAATCACCCCCCAGGGGGGATGGTCACGCCGCAATCCCTTCTCCTCCATTCTCTTCTCGGGATCTTGGGCATGCACGCACACGCGCTCGGCATGAGTTTTAAGCCACCGGGTCCAGGACGCGAACCGCGGTCTACTACGTGGGAGTCCAGCAACATAGCCATTATGCTAACTGCTGGTTCCCCCAAGCATGTTTTCTGAGCATAATGCAATTTAACCAAAAATCAAAAAGAAAAAAATGCCTATTAATATCTTTTGTCCATTTTAAAATCAGGTTATCTGGTTTTGTTTGTTTCTTTTTGCTATTTAGTTATTGAGTTCCTTGTGTATTTTGAATAATCAACCTCTTATCAGATGTGTAGTTTGCAAATATTTTCTCTTGTTCTGTAGGTTGTATCTTCAGTGAATTGATTGTCTCCTTTGCTGTGAATGATATTTCTCCATTTGTCTATTTTTGCTTTTTTCTCTATGCTTTTTTTTTTTTGAGAGGTTTTTGCTATAAGGTGCGTGAGCTCACCAGAAAGACAGAGAGAGACAGAGAGATAGAAAGTGAGAAATCACCCCCCCCCCAGGGGGGAATGGCTACACCACAATCCCTTCTCCTCCATATTCATCTTGGGATCTTGGGATCATGTACATGCACCCGGCGTGAATTTAAGCCACTGGGTCTGGGACTCAAACCACGGTTGGCTACATGGGAGTTCAGCGACATAGCCATTATGCTAACTGCTGTCCCTCCCAATGCTTTTGAAGTCATATATATATTAAACAAAAATCATTGCTCAGATGAATGTCACGAAGCTTTCTCCATATGTCTTCTTTTAGCGGTACTATAGATTCAGATCTTACATCTAAGTCTTTAATACGTTTTGAGCTGTTGTATATGGTAAGAGATAAAGGTCTGATTTCATTCTTCTGCAAGTAGATATCCAGTTTTTCTAACACCAATTATTGAAAATACTCTTCTTTTCACATTGTGTGTTTTTGAAATCTTTATCAAAAATCAGCTTGTTGTTTATGTGTGTGGAGGCAAATATCACATCATCTCATTGATATATGGAACCTAAAAAGGTTGCTCTCATAGAAATAGAAAGTAGGATGGTGGTTATCGGTGCCTGAGGTAGTTAGTAGGTGGGGCAAGATAGAGATGTTGGTCAAAAGATGTATAATTAGAGCTACATTGGAGGAATAAGCGCAAGAAACGTATTGTTCAGCCTGGTGGCAATAGTTCATAGTAATATAGTGCACTGCTTTAAAAGTTTTATTTATTTATTTATCCAGCAGATGGTATGGAGGTTAAGGTGCTGGATTCCACATGACCAGCTAAACAGATCAAGTCCTGGACCTGGAAGCTTGAAAATCATGCTGGGTACATGTGCAAGTGTGTCCAAAATCCAGAGCGTAAACTGGAGAAGAGATTGTGGTGTGACCATTCCCTTGGGGGATAATTTCTCATTTTTTCTCTCTCTAGCAAGTGGCCTATAGCAAAAACAAAACAAAATTTACTTATTCTGAAGAAAGATGGAGGGAGGGACAGACAGGAACCCCCAGTGGTCTTTATGCTGTGATCCAGCCCCCAGCCTCAGCCGCTCCAGATCATGGGCGTGTGTGTGTGTGTGTGTGTGTGTGTGTGTGTGCACCTGGTGTATAGAGAGGTCCTGGACAAGAAACAGAGAGTCTCCATATTATCCAGTTACTATTACTAAGCCGAGTCTGACTCTATGCATTGTATTCTAGGGAAAAAAAAAAAAAAGCAAAAGATAGTGGATATTAAGTGTTCTCACTGCAAAAAAACCAAAACGAAACAAAAAAACTATGTGAGAGAATGCATTTGTAAATTAGCTAGATTTAACTATTTCACACGTATATACATTTAAAAACCTCATGTTTCACATAAGTACACGCAATTTTATCCATCAATTAAAGAATTATCGAAGGATAACAAGAAAGTTTCCAAACATTTAGAAAGTAAACAAGACCTTTTAGATGACCTCTGAATCAAAGAGGAAGACTCAAGAGAAATTCGAAAATACTTTGAATTGAACAACAATAAAAATAAAACATTTCAAAATGTATGGGATAAAACTGAAATAGTGTTTTAAAGGGAATTTAAGGCATTAAATGCTTATAGTAGAGAAAAGGGAGGGTATTAAATGAATCATGAAAGCTTTATCTTAAGAAACTAAAAAATGAAGAGAAAAAATAAAGCAAGTGGAAGAAAGAAAATTATAAGCAGAAACCAGTCAAATTTAAAACAGAATTGCAATAGAATATATCAAGAAATCAAAAGCTGGTTCTTTGCAAAAATCAATAGCATTAATAAACTTCTGTCAAGGCTAACAAGGAAAAATAAGACAGAAACTAGAATTATCAATATCAGAAATAAACAATTATTTTTGGGAACCAGCAGTTAACGTAATGGCTATGTCGCTGGACTCCCACGTAGTCGACCGCGGTTCGCGTCCCGGACCTGGTGGTTTAAAACTCACGCCAGGCATGTGTGTGTTCGTGCCCAAGATCCCGAGAGGAGAATGGAGGAGAAGGGACTGCAGTGTGACCATTCCCCCTGGGGGATGATTTCTCGCTTTCGGTCTCTATGTCTCTCTCTTTCTGTCTGGCGAGTGCACACGCTCTATAGCGAAAACCTCTCCAAAAAAAAAAAAAAGAAAACAATTATTTTTTATAGACCCCCAAACATCAAAAGAATAAGAAATACCACGAACAAATCGAGACATATCAGTTCAACAACTTATTTCAAATAGACCAAGTCTTCGAATACTACAAACTACCAAAATTCACCCAAGATGAAACAAATAACCTGAATAACCCTATAACTATTAATAAAATCACATTTATACTTAAAACCTTTCTAAAAAAGAAATCCCAAGCCCGACTGTTCACTGGGTAATTCTACCGAGCACTTACAAAATATGGGTTGCCAGAAAAGTTGTGACACATTTTTGCATAGGGAAAAATACACATGACTTTCTTGACAAACCAATAAATATAATAAATCACACATAATTTCTTAAAGATAAGGAAGCACTTTGTATGTCATTTTATGAGGTAAGCATTAGCCTGATCTTTAAATGAAGATAATAAACAAAAATAAAACTACAGATCAGTATCATTCATGAACATATATTTAAATATCCTCAGTAAAGCATAAGCAAATAGACTCTAGCAGTATATAAAAAGATATATGATCAACTGGAGTTCAATTAAATAATTAAACACTGGATCAATATTCAAAAATCAATCAGTATAATCAACCATATTAATTGTCTAAGATATAATACCACATAATTTCTATTGGTACAAAAAATATTTGAGAAAGCAGAATACTTTTATGATAAATACTCAAAATAAACTAGGAATAGAAGTAAAATGCATAATCTAATAAGGGGCATTTATAAAATACTTAAAGCTAACATCTCAGTGGTGAAAGACATAATAATTTCTCTCTAAAATCAGGAAAAAGCCAGGAAGTCTCCTTTCACTGGTCCTATTCTGCATACAATGAATGTCTGAAATACAGATGTGCAAGTTGCTTTCTGATCGCTTTCCCATTGTTTGA